TCTAGTAATATATTTACTGAGAAAAATGGTGACGTGTTCAACACTTATTTTACCTGCTGTAACTGTCTTATTTGTACAGAATTCATATTATGTTTCATCATCTATTTTGCACCAAACTTGATGTGTCCTCGTCTTCCGTTTTCGCGTCTCACAGGCTGAAGACAGCGCTCGATTAAACGCCACTCTCAAAGAGCGTTTGCGTTTCCTGGAGCTGCGGCACGCCGAGGCGGACACGCTGCTCCACGTGCACGCAGCGCTGCTGTACGAGCTGCAGGCCCAGCTCCGTAACCTGTCGGCCACCGTGCGGCACGTGAACCGGAACGCCGGCTGCACGATCAACGTCATCCGGACCACACCGCCACTCGGCATGAGAGACACCCTGCCACCAGGTACACGTGCGACAGTGGTGAGTTTCGTGAGTGTCATGATGTCACACTGGCAGCACTCTGTCTTATCTTAGTAATGAATGTTGATTTAAACATATGCAGCATGAATGAAACCATTTTTTTTTTTACCTTAAGGGGGTGTTGCAGCACCCTCTGCATCCCTGCTTCTCATGAATTTTCAACTTGTTTCAGAATCGGGGTAATTCTCAAAACTGTCTGTTTTGTTTTATTTTTTGCTAAAAAGCTGAGAATTATGGAGGACCAAAACTGACATAATTAAAAATAAAAAACGAAATATGTAAACAGACCAATAAATAAATAAACACACTTAAAATGCACAAATTAAATAAAAAAGTTGACCTTTACCTCATGTTTTATAATTTAATTGACCTTCATATTTATTTTTCCAGCTTAGTTCYAATAAATTCTATTTAGCACATAAGTTACATTTTACAGTTTTGAAAAATATGTCTTTTAAAATATTTTATTTTACTTATAGATGCGTTTGTGTCTCTTAAATGGTTATATTTATATTTTGTAATATATTTTTTCCCACAAGTCTTTTTATTTCCATGTGTTGCTTTTACATTTCTCTGTCTTCTGTTTTTACTTTACCTTATGCATTTCTGACTCCTTATGCAAATAAGGTGGGTGGGGCTTCTTGGGTCAGCTCCTCTCTTATTGGACAACAAACAAGAAGGAGCAATATGCATGTGCAGATATACTGTGCATGCTTGTGCTGGCTCAGTTTAAATTAAAGTTTAAAACTTAGTTTAAAACAAAGGCACAGGTAAATGTTTTTCTTATTGCCTTTGAACTAAGAACTAAGAAAAAAATAAATATGAAGGTCAATTAAATTATAAAACATGAGGTAAAGATCTCCTTTTTTAATTCAATTGCTGCATTTTAAGTGTATTTATTTATTTATTTATTAGTCAATTTACATTTTACGACTTTTATTTTTAATTATGTCAGTTTCGGTCCTCCATACTCATGGCCTTGATGTCATACGCTTAATAGTAACGTTAAAAACACTTTCACGTTCAACTCAGACTACACAAAAACAAGTCGGATGGGTCAATCTTTCTTTTTGTCCATCTGTGTCCCCCTCAGGTGGACACCATGTGTCTTACTGTCCATCAGACTGTGCGTCTCTGTATCACAGTGGGGTTCGTCGTTCTGGTGTTTACACCATCGTCATGTCACCCACCAACACTTTTCCTGTGTACTGCGACATGGAGACAGACGGTAAGAAGTACACAGAGCTTCAGAGGAGTTTTCATGTTTGTTGGTCTGATCGTTAAAGTAGATGAGCTTAATTTATTGGACATAAAGTGTTTAATCTTATTATTTAGGGGATTTCACAAACACTATAACATGACTGACACAGTCTTCGAATGAGCCTGTTTGTACAACAGTGTCTGTACTTTAATACCTGTATCTCTGTTGTGCCAGGTGGGGGCTGGACGGTATTCCAGCGGCGGCGTGACGGTTCGGTGAGCTTTAATCGGGGTTGGTCTGAATATCGAAATGGCTTCGGTGAGCCCAAAGGAGAACACTGGCTGGGCAACCAGCACCTCTACCTGCTGTCCAATCAGGGCCCTTACAGCCTCCGTATTGACATGCAGGACTGGAGCCACGCCCACAAACACGCCCTGTACCGCTCCTTCAGGTAAAAACTGATGAGACTGTAGATCATGGGTTAATCAACTGGTGGCATGCGGGACACTTCTGGCCCGTGGATGACCTCAGTCTGGCCCGCCAAGAAGTTCATGAAAAGACTATATCGTATATATATATAT